GAAGAAGTAAGTATATAGTAAGAGTAGAAGAAGAAGAAGAAGAAAGTAAGTAGACAGAAGTAGAAAAAGAAAGTAGACAGAAGAAGAATAGAAGAAGTAGAAAAGATAGTAGAAAAAGAAGAAGAAAGTTAGAAGAAGTAAAGAAGTAGAAGAAGATTTAGAAGAAGAAGAAATAGAAGAAGAAGTAGTTAGCAGAAGAAGTAGAAAGAAGACAAGATAGTAGAAGAAGGAAGTAGAAGAAAAGTAGAAGAAGAAGAAGTAGTAAATAAGAAGTAAAGAAGAAGAAGTAGAAGAAGTAAGTAGAAGAAGCAGAAGAAGAAGTATAAGAAGCAAAATAAGTAGAAGAAGACGTAAAGAAGAAGAAGTAAATTATGAAGAAGAGAGCAAAATAGACGAAGAAGAAGTAAAAGAAGAAAGTAGAAGACGTAGAAAGAAGAAGTATGAAGAAGAATTAGAAGAAGAATAGAAAAGAAGTAGAAAAGAGAAGTAGAAGAAGAAAGTAGAAGAAGAAGAAGAAAAAGTAAGTAAGAAAAAGAAGAAGAAGTAGAAGAAGTAGAAGAAGTAGAAGAAGAAGTAAGAAGAAGAATTAGAAGAAAAGTAAAGAAGAAGTAAGTAGAAGAAGAAGTAAAGTAGAAGAAGTCGAAGAAGATAGTAGAAGAAAGAAGTAGAAGAAGAAGTAAGATCTAGAAGAAGAAGTAGAATAAGAAGCAGAAGAAGAAGAAGTAGAAGAAGTAGAAAAGTAGAAGAAGAAGAAGTATAAGAAGAATAGAAAAGAAGAAGGTAGAAAAGAAGTAGAAGAAAAAACAGTAGAGAGAAGAAGTAGAAGAAGAAGTAGAAGAAGAAGTAGAAGAAGAAGAAGTAGAAGAAAAGTAGAAGAAGAATAGAAGAAGAAGAAGTAGCAGAAGTAGAAGAAGAAGTAGAAGAATAGAAGAAGAAGTAGAAGAAGAAGTATAAGAAAAGAAGTAGAAGTAGGAAAGTAGAAGAAGTAGAAGAAGAATTAGAAAGAAGAAGTAGAAGAAGAAGAATAGAAGAAGAACTATAAGAAGAAGAAGAAGTAGAAGAAGTAGAAGAAGAAGAAGTAGAAGAAGAATGTAGAAGAAGAAGTAAAGAAGAAGAAGTAGAAGAAGAAGTAGAAAAGAAAAGAAAGTAGAAGATAGAAGAAGAAGAATTGTAAGAAGAAGTAGAAAAAGAAGAATAGAAGAAGAAGAAAGAGAAGTAGAAAGAAGAATAAGAAGAAGTAAGTAGTAAGAAGAAGTAGAAGAAGAAGTAGAAAAGAAAGAGGAAGAAGAAGAAGAAGAAGAAGTATGAAAGAAGAAGAAGAAGAAAAGAAGAAGAAGAGAAGAAGAAGTATAAGAGAAGTAGAAGAGTGAAGTAGAAGAAGAAGAATAAGAAGCAGAAAGAAGTAGAAGAAGAAGTAGAAGAAGAAGAAGAATGAAGAAGTAGAAGAAAGTAAAGAAAAGAAGTAGAAGAAAGAAGTAAATAAGAAGAAGAAGAAGAAGGAATTGAAGAACAGAAGAAGTAGAAAAAGAAGTAGGAAAGTAGAAGAAGTAGAAGAAAGAAAGTAGAAGAAGAAGTAGAAGAAGTAGAAGAATAGAAGAAGAATAGAAGCAGAAGAAGAAGAAGTAGAATCAGAAGAAGAAGAAGTAGAAGAAGTAGAAGAAGAAGAGTAGAAGAGAATAGAAGAAGAAGAATAAGTGGAAGAAAAGAGTAGAAGAAATAGAAGAAAGTAGAAGTAAGAAGAAGAGAACAAGAAAAGAAGAAGAAGTAGAAGAAGAAGTAAAGAAGTAGAAGAAGAAGTAAAGAAGAAGTAAAGAAGGAAGAATTAGAAGAAGAAGAAGTAGAAGAAGAGTATAAGAAATAATAAATAAGAAGTAGAAAAGAAAGAAGTAGAAGTAAAGAAGAAAGATTAGAAAAGTAGAAGAAGAAGTAGAAGAAGTAGAAGAGAGAAGAAGAAGAAGTAGTAATGAGTAGAAGAAGAATTAGAAGAGAAGTTAGACAAGAAAGTAGAAGAAGAAGAGAAGAAGAAGTAGTAAGAAGAAAGTAGTAGAAAGTTAGAAGGAAGAAGTAGAAGAAGAAGATAAGATGAAGAAGAAGAAGAAGACGAAGAAGTAAGAAGAAGAAGAAGAATGTTCCCTTGAGCATGAAAACAGTTCACACCAGACAGTGACAAATAATGGGAGATAACATCTGATAAAAAGAGGCTGACTTTGATGAGGCATACAACGAGGGTGGATCTGATAAGAAAAATTAGATGAACATTGCCCTCGCCCTTTATTTTTGCTGGTACACATACTTTTAGTCTGTCTGTCTATTTGTCTGTCGTCAATCACCCTGTCTATCCCTCTAGCTCTCTGTCTCACGAGCCACAAGACTGGTGTAATCAGCAAGTAGGATGAAGGAATATCACACACAACCATTTCCTAGGATAACTACATAACACAACTTGCCCACTAATTACTTACTTCGCAGAAAACTGCTCAGTACAAGGTGTTTGTCTTTCACAATAAAAATAAACAAGTCCACAAAAAAATGCACAACACTGGTTTTATGTGTGAGGAGTGTAACAACATCAACCATTGAGTGTATGAAAAGCATGTTTCAAAGATTCCACAAACTAGCAAACTCTCTAGGAATATGTCCAGTGACTGTACATTGGTATATATATAATAGAACAACAGTAATAAAATATTTTTTTGTATTTGTTTTGTTTTTGTAAGACAAGTTTTGTAAACAATATATAGATAATTAATGTTAGAGTGCTTATTGTATAGTATACAACGAGTGTATTTAAGTACTTGGCACCGTACTTTGGTCTCATAGGCCTCATAGTTATGTGAAAAACTAAAATCGTGAAAAAAACAACAAATCCTTCAAATACAAGTAAACTAAAGTTTACCCTGGTGCGCGGCAGTCGCCGCTCTTAGTTCCATACGCGGCTCATTTTCCCCTGCAAACTTCACAACTCTATATCTCTGTAAGTACTCTGGATGCAAAAAAAATTTTTTTTTGGACTAAAACACTCAAAAATTAATTCTTACCATTTTCATAAGAAAAATATTTTTTTTTTCGAATAATTGGTGACATACAATGACAGTTCAGAGAGGGGCCTGAAACAGTCCAAAGGGTTAAAGTGATCCTTCCAAAAACTCTTTAGAGTCAGTTGGATTTTTTGTGGTCCACTAACAAAGCACTTTTGAAACGTAAGCTTTGTGTACAGTTATCCTTTGAAGTTGGGTAATGACCTGCAGGCCCAGGCTGCAGGAAGGAGTGGGTATTATGGAGGCACAAACTTGAACCCTTAAAGAAGTGCTCATGTACCCATAAAGTTTTCACGCTCTCCCAAGTCTGTAGGAACCAGAGGCATTGTCTAAAATCAGGAGCACTTAAGGTCTAATTTCTTTTCAATTAGGTATTTTTTCACAGTGAGGGAAAATGCATGTGTAAGCATCATAAAAAAAAGTCCCTAGTGAACCCATGCCTTACTGTTTGCCCTCTCACAGCACACACAAATTAGCCTTGAGGACATTGTTTTTTTCCTGAACACACTGGGAGTTTGAGTGATTAACACCAATAATGGGGGGGGGGGGGGAGGCTGCTTCACTTTGCAATCACCACTAGCAATGGCACACATCAACATAGTAAGCCTTTCTTTCATAGGCTTATTGTTCCAGGGCGTTTCCTTCTCCTGAATTATGTAGGTCCTGCTTGTCAATTTTCTCTTCAAAAACCAGGCCTGTTTTGTCGCAATTAAACACTAGTTCAGGTTAAATTCTTCACTGACTATGTAATCCTTGAATTTCGCTTCACATATTTTTCAGCTGCTTTTTGGTCCGAACTGGGCAGCCCTCACCGATGCCTAATCGCACAATTATGCCGACTAGATTCTTTAAATCTTTCAAAACCAACCTTTGCTGGCCATAATTCACATCACATCACACTAGTTGTAGGCAATTTTCTTTAACCAAGTATTCGTCATGGGCAGCTGCCTAGACTTTTCAACAAATGATAATCACTTTGAGAGATATAAACTAGACACATGTAGCAACTCTTGGGTATCTTTATTAAGGAAACGTTTTCACCACACATGGCTTCATCAGTCCATACACAGGAGAACTTAAGAGGAAAGGAGGAGAATGAGGTATTCAGTCCCTCAAACCTTGAGACGATGTGGTCAGATCCATCATCTTGATTAGAATACGGCAAATGACGAAGAGCTTTATAAACCGTAGGTAGGAGAGGTGCAGCAGTCATAGGTGGAGTCACATTTGCCCAAAGAGGAAGTATGTCGTGCCCAAGGGTTAGGCTAGCGAAGAATTCCCAATTATTAGATCCTAAGAAGTTGCAGTGGTCATGACAGGATTGTAAATGAATGGTTCACAGCGCCGACACATTGGTAAATTAGACACATGAGCAAACTCTTGGTATCTTTATTAAGGAAACGTTTTGCACACATTGGCTTCCATCAGTCCATACACCATGAAAGCCTTGAAGAATAGAGGAAATGAGGTAATCAGTCCCTCAACCAAGAGACGAATGTGTCAGTCCAACAATCTTGAGTAGAAATACGGCATTAGAGCAGAGAAAGGAGCGTATAAAAACAGTAGGTAGGAGAAGGTGCAGCAGTCATAGGAGTGTCCACATTTGCCCAATGTGGAAGTAGGTCGAGCCCGAACGGTTAGGCTAGCGAAGAATTCCCAAGTAATTAAGATCCTAAGAATTGCAGGTCTGAAAGGATTGTAGATGAATGGTTCACAGAAACGACACGTTATAAAATAGAAACCAACAGATGTGCAAACTCTTGGTATCTTTATTAACCCTTTGACTTTTCAGGCCCCTCTCTGAAACCGTCATTCTATGTCGCCAAAAATTTTAAAAAAAAAAAATTTTTTTTTCTTAAAAAATGTAAAAAAAATTTTTTTTGGCCCAAAAAAAAAAAAATTTGCCTTTGGGTACTTCCGAGATATGGGCCCGGGAAATTTTTGAGAAAATGACCCGGGCATATGGCAACAGCGGCGACGCCGCCACCCGGTAAATTTAGTTTACTTGTAATTAAAAGGTTTTTTGTTTTTTTCACTTTTTTTTTTTACAAACTTATGGGGCCCTTGGGACCAAAATAAGGTGAATGTATATATTACACTCGTTGTAAAACAAAACAATAAGCCACAAAAAATAATTACAATATTTTGTTTACAAACTGTTTACAAAACAAACAAACAATCATCCTCCTCCTTCTCCCTTTTCTCCTCCTTCTCCTCCTCCTCCTCTCCTTCCCCCTCCTCTCCTCCTTTCCCCCTCCCTTTTCCTCTCCTCCCCCCTCCTCCTCCTCCCCCTCCTCCTCCTTTCCTCCCCCTCCTCCTCCTCCCCTCCTCCTCCTCCTCCTCCCCTCCCCCTCCTCCTCCCCTCCCCCCTCCCCTTTCCTTCCCCCTCCTCCCCCTTTTCCTCCTCCTTCTCCCCCTCCCCCTTCCCCCTCCCCCCTTCCCTCCTCCTTCTTCTCCCCCTCCTTCTCCTCCTCCTTCTCCCTTTTTCTCCTCCTTTTCCTCCTCCTCCTCCTCCCCCTCCCTCCTCCCTCCTCCTCCTCCTCCTCCTCCCCCTCCCCTCTCCTCCTCCTCCCCCCCCTCCTCCCCTCCTCTCCCCCTCCTCTCCTCCTCCCCCTTCTCCTCCTCCTCCTTTTTCCTCCCTTTTCATCCTCCCTTTTCCCCTCCTTGTCTTGTGTGCGAGTGTGTGGCTTATAATTGTTTTTGAGTAGAAGTCGGCAGCTGTCAAGTGAATATTTTCCCTTAGTCAATTCCCCCACCCCCCCCTGCAAAACAAAGGGTCGGATGCTGTTCCCCTCCCCCCATTCATCTAATTTCTTTCTCCCTCATTTATATCTTTCAATTGTCTCTCTTTCTATTGTCTGCCTATCTCGTTCACAGGGACAATAAATAAAGTAACATATGTAAAAAATTTCCTAGGAAACCGTCCGCAAAATCAACTTGCTTATGTGAGGATAAAATGATGACAGTTTGTGGCTCTCTTGAGACAGAGAGCTAGATGGACGACGGGAGCTTTCAGCAGACAAATAAGACAGACAGAAATGTTTTGTACCAGCAAAAAAAAAAGGGAGGGCGATGGTCAGTAAATTACCCCCTTTTCGCTCACAAGTCAGTTTATAGAGTTATCTCCCCTTATCTTGTCCGTCAGGGGTGGACTTTTTTTTTTTTTGCTTCAAGGGAACAATATTATTACATCTTCTTCTTTCCTCCTCCTCCTCCTTTTTCCCCCCTCCCCTTCTCCTCCTCCTCCCTTCCTCCTCCTCCTCCTCCTCCCCCTCCCCTCTCTTCCTTCCCTCCTCCTCCTCCTCCTCCTCCCCCCTCCTCCTCCTCCTCTTCCTTCCCTCCCCTCCTCCTCCTCCTTCCTCCTCCTCCTCCTCCTCCCCCTCCCCTTCCTCTTCCTCCCCTCCTCCCCCTCCTCCTCCTCCTCCATTGCTTTTGGTCTCAAACTCCTCCAAATCATGAAATTGATCTTCACTGACACTTCCATCTGTGTTAGAGCATCACTTGGGAAGAGAAGAGTCCCAGATTTGCTGGGGAATCACATATTTCTTACCGCTAGACATGCTGAAAAAGGACAACTGAAATGGCATTCCCACAATGCACCACTGGCTCCCCGATTTTTTTTATATGGTGCACACTGACCATGGAGACCCATTCTCTCACATGTGGGCCTACCAGCTTTCTCCTGCTTGATTTGAAGCTGCTAGAATTTATGCGTATAAATACGTCAGAAACATTGGCTCGTAAGACGTATTTATACGTCGGAAACAGTCAAAGGGTTAACCCTTTGAGGGTCGACAGGCCCTCTCCGAAACTCGTTCTCAGGGTCGGCCAAATTTAAAAAAAAAAAATTATTTTCACATGAAAAGATAGAGAATCTTTTTCCGATCATAAAGACACCAAAAGTTTGAAATTTGATAGAAAACTTACGGAATTATGCTCTCGCAAAGTTAGCTGTCTCGGCGATGTTTACGCATCGGCGATTTTGCCCACTTTGAGCCCCATTTTCGGCCAATTTCACTGTACTAGTCGACAAAAAACATGAATATTTCGCTAGAATCCATTTTTTCTATCGAATGGGTGCAAGAAACCACCCATTTATGAAATTCAACTACCCAGTACAGTGGTCAGAATTTAGCAATTTTGCCAATTTCACACAAATTTCAAAAGATGCCAATTTCCGAAAAAGGGTCCAGAATAAACAAGAAAGACATTCCTGGCACTAAAATGACATTTCCTCTAGTCATTAGTCACGTCTCAAGGCCCCTCTTATATTCTTTTGCTTTCCACTTTGAATTTTTATTCTCACAAAAAATATAAGATTTACTGTTATGCAGACTACTGCATTAGTGTAAAAAATGGTATAAATATTATTGGTGCACTTGTGAAAGAATATTAGACTCACCAGTTGACGTGTATTGCACGCTTGGCACGATTTGTTTACTTTTGAAGTTTGGTAAAAATCGAACATTTCTGCTACTTTGAGCTCAATTTCAAGGCACCTTTCATTGTAAAACCAGTCAAAATCATCTCAATTTCTGTAATATGTCTTCCATTCTATAAAATGAGACCAAAAAAAACTAGAATACAACAATAAATACCATACGAAAATACACTGCAAAGTCGCTGATTTATTCCAAAAAAATGGTCAAAGTTTTTTTTTTCTCATTATGCACTGTGTGCTGCAGGATTTTTTTTAGACTGTGCACACTGACCACATAGACCCATTCTTTCATATGAAGGCCTACCAGCTTTCTCCCACTAGATTTGAGGCCGCTAGAATTTATGCGTACTAGTACGTCAAAAACCCCTACGCGTAAGACGTACTAGTACGACCAAATCCCTCAAAGGGTTAAGGAAACGTTTCGCCACACAGTGGCTTCATCAGTCCATACACAGGAGAAGCTTGAAGAATATTAGGAGAATGAGGTAATCAGTCCCTCAACCTTGAGACGATGTGGTCAGTCCATCAATCTTGAGTAGAATACGGCATATGAGCGGAGAAGGAGCTTATAAACTTCTTGGGATCCTAATACATTGGGCAAATGTGACACCACCTATGACTGCTGCACCTCTCCTACCTACGGTTTATAAGCTCCTTCTCCGCTCATATGCCGTATTCTACTCAAGATTGATGGACTGACCACATCGTCTCAAGGTTGAGGGACTGATTACCTCATTCTCCTCCTATTCTTCAAGCTTCTCCTGTGTATGGACTGATGAAGCCACTGTGTGGCAAAACGTTTCCTTAATAAAGATACCCAAGAGTTGCACATGTGTCTAATTTATCAACGTGTCGGTTCTGTGAACCATTCATCTACACTTGAGAGATGCTATCTCCTGCTATCTGTTTTTCATTTATCCACACCAATAACAGTGTCTCAACATTTTCTAACACTTGCGTTCGCTGTTTCGTAATCACAGTTGCACCTTTTGCAAGAACAGCTTCCTTGATTGCCGTTTTCCTGGTCACTATAGTAGAGATGGTTTATTGGGGTTTACTATACAACCTGGCTAGCTCTGACACACGTACTCCACTTTCGTACTTTACAATTATCTCTTTCTTCATTTCAATAGTCACTAGCACCTTTTTTCTCGAAGGGTTGGCACTAGAAGCTTTCTTGGGGCCCATGGTGACTTATTTTGCAGAAACAAGCACCAAAAGCAGTGATAATATGGAATTTACCGAATGTATCCTTAGATGCACGCACACTGCCTGGCTTGTAAACACTGGCACACACGGGGCGGTTCAGGCCACCCAGGGGACACGTCTCATGCGAATCGCATCGAATCCCGGGTTTTCGATCGGATTCCGAGGCGAAATTTTTGCGTTAAAATGCATAAAATACCGGATTTATCGGATCCCAAATGCCATCAAATACCGGGGGTCCACTGTATACAGTGGACCTTCGACATTCGATACTAATCCGTTGCTGAGAGCTATCATATGTCGAAAATATCAAAAGTCGATTAATTTTCACATAAAAAGTAATGGAAATCAAATTAATCCATGCAAAGACACCCAAAAGTATGAAAAAAAAAATTTTTACCAAATGAAATATTAAGTTTAATGCAATAGAATAATTACAATAACAATAGAATAATAATAGAATAATTGACACTTACCTTTAATGAAGATCTGGTGATGATTGATGGAATGGGAGGAGGGGAGAGTGTCGAAGTTGTTACTGTTCAAAAGGGAATCCCTTCCATTAGGACTTGAGGGTAGCAAGCCCTTTTTCCCGAGGTTACTTCCGTTCTTCTTTTAATGCCACTAGGACCAGCTTGAGAGTCACTGGACCTCTGTCGCCGTTCCTTTAATCCTTTCAGGGTCCGTCCCATAGATCTACAGCTTCACGTTGAGTGTCCAAACCGTAGATCTATGCAAAATTCTAGCGCCGTCAATTTAGCGCGAAAACGCTCATAGGCCTACATGTGAGAGAAAGGGTCGTCGTGGTGGGTGTGCGCCATAAACAAAAAATCTAGGTGCCTGCTAGCATTGTAGGAACGCCGGCTCAGTTACCCTTGTTCACCATGCCTCGTCGCAAGTCAGCTCTCACTCCCCGGAAAATTGGGACTCTCCTCTTCCTATCTGATAGTTCTGACACTGATGGAAGTGGAAATGAAGGGACGAATTTCTCGGCCTTTGATCAGTTAGTGACCGAAAGAATGACCAGGATATCGATAATAGTGCAGAAAGCCCTGACGATTCTCAACCTTCTACCTCTGGTGTGGGCACTCTTTGACCACGGCCGGTTGTTTCCTCAACGCAAGAGAAAACTAATATTTTCGCGGGGCCAGGCCTCTGACTTCAGTAATGATGATGATAGTGCCCTGGATTGTGATTTTTTTGCACTCGACGATCATTCGAGTAGTGATAGTGAGGAATCATATTCCCCAGTGAAGCGTCGGTATGTTCGCCGCTGCATGCGCTTGGGTAGTGTACCCTATGCTGGGGCCCAGGGGACGGAGTACATCCCGGAGTACATCCCG